AGTACAGGTATGCATGCCAGCCCCCCATCTACCTTTATTTCTGCACCTAGGTACACGTCTGCACGTATCTACTATCTATCTATCTGCCATTTAAAACCGAGTTCATGCAAATACCTCTGATTCTGATTCAACACCAAAAGCTCATTTCAGTCTTCCTCCTTTCTAGCTGTAAACTCTCTCTGACAGCGAGAAACTTGGCTCTCATTATCCACCACCCATTTACATATTTGTTCAACCCTACTATACACACAATGCAATTTCAGAATTGCTAACCCAAACCCCTGTAAGAAACACATCTGCTAACTGGAGTACAGCATTTTTGGACAGTTTTTGTCTTTAGTCTTAAGAGTATCCGGTCAACATACTGTTTTCCAAAATTATTTGGGTAAGTTGTTTTCTCCCCCGGTCCTTGCAACGGGTTATAGTAATCACTTGTATTACAATTAAGTTCATTCGGTACTGTTCGGAGTCCATTTTGGGTCTCTCCCACATGCTGGATAATTTGAATTGTCTGTTTACTTCTTGGGTATGTGAGGTTCTTTTTTTTTTTTTTTTTTTTTTTTAAGATTTTATTTATTTATTTGACAGAGAGAGTGAGCTAGAGAGAGAGAGAGCACAGCCAGGGGAGGAGGGAGCGGGAGGAGCAGATTCTCTGCTGAGCAGGGAACCTGATATGGGGCTCCATCCCAGGACCCTGGGATCATGACCTGAGCTGAAGGCAGACACTTAACCGACTGAGCCACCCACGTACCCCGGCAGGTGAGGTTCTAAGTCAGAGCTGAAAAGAGCCATGCTCAAGAAGGGCTGTGCACTCTGCATCCTTGTCACCCCATCCCTATATCTCCCCCTTCTTTCCACTGCTTTCCCACCAGCCCCAGTGCACACCATCTAGCAGCCACTCAGGAAAGTACTGGCTAATAATAACGAAGCCTATTCCTCTTCTTGGAGATGAAGAGCCACAGGTAACTAGCGCTCAGCTTGACAGGAATTCTTGGGTAACACTTTCAAATTTCTTGTACTTTCTTTTCTTCCTCCTTTTTAAAATGTAGCATCTCAAAACAACTTGGCAGCCTAGGAAATTATTTGTAAATATCTGGAAAATTAAGTAGCAATAATATTTGCAGGAAAAAATAATCTGAGTAAAAGTTTTTTTTTGTTTTGTCTCATAATAATGCTCTCGTTGCTCATTTTCTCTGTAATCAGGATTTGATTTTAGACTAATGAGGAAGGAAGCCACCAGAGATGAGTCAGTAAACGCAAAGCCAGTTATAAAAATCTGGGAAAGAAAGCAAAGAGTTTTGCAAATGTGGACCTAAGGAGGAAATTGGCATCTGAGACCCTACACTTATTTTTATATCCAGAGGACACTTGGATCAAAACATGAAAAATAATAAAACTTTAGGATTAGGGTAATGTGGATGGTGAAGTCACATGCCATGACATTTCCAAGAGAGTAATGAAATATTTGGCAAATTCTGCAAATAAGCAGGCCTTTTTCTATGCCCAGTCCTCCGAAACCTTGTAAAATGATAATCATACCACCTGACAGCAAAGCTGCACAGGTAGACTCACAGGCTTGAGGAATATGGAAAAGGTTATGGGTGATCCAGAATCAACAAGTTTATTTGATAAATATTTAATTTTATTGATAAATATTTGATCTGGATTTACATTCTACACCTGTCAATATATTCTCTCTATTTTGTGTCACGTCAGGGGATTCTATAGCCTGTTAGGGGCATGAGTCTCCAAGTCAAGACAGAATCGGGGCTGAATCCTGGCCTGGCCACTAACTGGCTACATATCATTGGGCCAGATAACCTCCCTAAGCTTCGGTTTCTTCATCTCTATAATGGGCACAGTGATACCAACCTGTAGGTGGCGTGAACTTTGAACCCGATGTGAAAAACTTAGTAAGTGCCTGGTACAAACCAAGTGCTCCCTTGGTAAGCGCAGCCTCAGGGTTAACAGTGAGGACTCTGGGCTCCACTGGAATGCTGGCTCTGCCACTCATTTGCTGTGTGACCTTGGAAAAGTCACTGAACCTTTCTGAGCTGTTGAAGAGGGAGTAGTAATCTGGAATGGGGATAATAATTAATAAGCAACTCTGAGGGGCGCCTGGGTGGCTCAGTTGGTTAAGCGACTGCCTTCGGCTCAGGTCATGATCCTGGAGTCCCGGGATCGAGTCCCGCATCGGGTTCCCTGCTCAGCGGGGGGGTCTGCTTCCCCCTCTGCCCTCTTCCCTCTCGTGCTCTCTGTCTCTCATTCTCTCTCTCTCTCTCAAATAAATAAATAAAATCTTAAAAAAAAAAAAAAAAAAAACAACTCTGAAATAGCGATGACAACAAATGGAGTAGGTACCAGGATCCAGTGAATTAATACGGACAGAGCACAGAGAACGGGACCAGATGTACCGCACTCTAGAATACTGTCAAGGACAGTTAGCTAGGATTATTCAGTCAGCCCACCGGATGGATGAGGAGGGCACCCTGGTGGGAGCCATTTCTTACACAAGAGTACCAGGCCTGGTGCCAAGGTCTGGAAGGAGACGTGCTGGCAGTGTTTGTCGACGGCTTCGGAGTCCTCAGGGGCTTACTCCATCTGTCAATGGCGTGTCAAGTGGTCTAACCCACAGTGGTCAAGAGCAAAGCTGGAGTCAAGAACACAGGAGCTGACACACTCATAAGGAACACATTACAGCAATTTGGCTGCAGGGAAAAAAAACAAACCCTTGCTCATGGGTTATGCAAACCCTACTCTGCAGTCAGCCTGCTTCAAAATTCTGGGTTCCACAGAGAACAAATCTTTGAGGTGAGTAAGATGCTAAAATCTAGAGTGCTGGGTGCTTGCTCCTTTGTCTTGCAATCATTCATCTTCTGGTATATTTATTCAAATTGCATGTCTTTGATAAAGGTTGTATTTCATCTCATGAAAAAAAATCAATAGAAAGAAAATGAGTGGGCTGTTTTGTCTTTATTTCTAAACATGCTAATAAATTATCTACTCTCACTGTACTGACACTGTGTTTCACAGGGAAACAGCTCTTTGTACCTTACTCTACTTCAAGTCACACAGAAGAGCATGTTCTATTAACTCCCCAGGCAAGGCTTTCTCTCCCACCTTCTTTCTCCCGACGGAACAACGGGATCCACAGACGGGACCTCCCAGGTTCTCTAGTGGAGGGAGTGACACAGGCCCACACCCTCTTATACTTGATACTGAGTTCAAGAATTTTCTAAAAACGGAAAGTTTCCTTATACCCTGTATGGAGGCAAAAGTCAATCTGAACTGACCCACGCCTGTAAATGTAAAGAACTTACCTCCCTTGGTGTGAATATCATACACGGATTCGGATATGATGCCCAGGGCCCTGCCATGGGCGCTGTATGGAATGTGTGATGCTTTATTCTCATAAAACCCCCCAAAATGTCTCAATTCTGAAACAAACTGGGCCCCAAGATACAGGACTGTGGACCTCTAGGAGAGTTACAGATGCTGTTCTGTTCCAAACACAGCTGTGTGAAAAGAACCAGTGAGAAAAGTAATTCTAGAATTTTCTCTCAACTGCCACCTTCTTTTAAAACCAGAACTTGGGGACGCCTGGGTGGCTCAGTTGGTTAAGCGACTGCCTTCGGCTCAGGTCATGATCCTGGAGTCCTGGGATCAAGTCCCGCATCGGGCTCCCTGCTTGGTGGGGAGTCTACTTCTTCTCCCTCTGACCCTACCCTCTCTTGTGCTCTCTCAAATAAATAAATAGAATAAAAATCTTAAAAAAAAATAAAATAAAATAAAACCAGAACTTGGGCCCAACTACCACATTGCGGATCTCATGATTTTAAACAGGCAATAATCACTCAGAAAAGACTTTGCCCCCAATTGTGTTTGCCCCTCAAGTGACCGCACCATAACTTACACCCTACAAGGTTCTACAGAAAACGCTCAGTGGTACATACATACAGGGACACACATGTCCTTTTAGGGGATGCATGCTCTCGGGAGCTACTCTTCCAGAGGGAGAAATAAATGGAATAAATAAATAAATATTTATAAATAATTATATTCATATATAATATTTATAACTCGCCCTGTGAGTTAATGGATCAGGAATTTAAACCTGGGTCCAACAGGGCGCATGGCATGAGCAAGTTTATGGCCTCTGTGGACTTTAGTTTCCCATGCGAAAATCGGCAGACACCACCACCTACTACTCAGGGCTATTGCACTGAAACAAAATAATGCCCACTGTCCACAGAGACACAGGTTAGCTGTTTTCCACACCCTTCTGGCACTTAGCTTCCTCCTCTGGCGGAGACACTCTCCGGGGACAAAGGTGCAAGGCAGAAAGCTCGGTGTCCACTTTCTCTCACACGGGCAAGCTCAGACAGAGGGGTATGGATATGTAAGGTATACGCATTTGTAGTGCATGTTTACCTATGACGGGGTGGCAGGAAATGGATTTGTACGGAGGTTCTGGACCCAAACCCAGCATCAGAAGGTCCGAGGAAAACAGGGAGTAAACAAAGCTGGGGGTACTGCCAGTAGAGGAGCTGTTGGGGACCAGGGGAGATGTCATTTAAGGACACCTGCGCACTCATAAGGGCATGGCCTTGCTGGTTTGGATTTGGCTGTGGAATGGAAGAGTCCAGATGTGTGTGGACAGCTTTAAATCAGTAGTTCCCTCTCTTGGCTGCAAGATGCCAGGCCCACCCCAGAGAATCAACTAGAATGGTATGTTCGAAGGTCTCAAGGTGATTTCAGTATTGTCATGGAAGACGAGGCCACTGAACACAGATGGACGGCAGGTGCTCCAGCTGCCCGGCTTCTCCCGTCGTGGGGGTGGTGGTTACAGAGCCTCACTGATTAGGAAAGGAAAAACACACAGCGCAGGGCCTCACGAAGCGAGGGGTCATCAGAAGCCCGGAGCAGAGAACAAACGCGTTAATGTTTAACCAAGTCACGGCTGCCCGCGGAACAAGCCCGAGACCCGCCGGCATTCTCACCTGGGGCTTTCCCATTCCTGGTCGTCCTTGTCTTTCTCTTCTTTGGTGTCTCCTGAATGTGGGTGTTTCTGCACGATGCGCATTCCACCAGCTTTCACTAAAATGAAAACAGAAGGGGGTGTGATCAACCTGGCAGTGGACCAGGGGAACTAGCTCGAAAGCTTTCAGCAGCCCCACAGCTGCGAGCTAGTCCAGATAACCTGGCATCAAGGATGAACCACAGAGGTTCCTGCTCTTTCGGGGCATTCGGTAGGATGTGGCAGTGGACGCGATCTTTTACTCCAGAGCCACGTAGAAACCTTCCAAGGCTGCTTGCTTTAGGTCCTTGATGCAACCGGGTCTCCCTTAGCCCCCGCCCTGTGACATTTTCTCAAACGCCGATGATGCTTTTGATGGGGTGATACAGCCCTGGGGGACACAGGACAGTCCCAGAGCCCACTCAGGCAGCAGCCAGTGACATCTGTGGTAGCCTTTCCCAAACTGTGTTGGGAAGCCTCGGTGTTGGCACGTGTTAACTTTTAAAAATGCTCTTACTGACATATAATTCATATACAGTACGAGTCACCCATGTAGAGTGCGCAACAGTTTTGAATGTACTCAGGGCTGGGTAACCGTCGCCACAGTCAGTTCAAGCCCACGGTCATGACCCCAGACAGAAACCCCAACCCCGTGAAGGGTCACTCCCCAACCCCCTCCCCCAGCTCACAGCAACCCCTCTTCCAGGCTTGCCTGTTCTGCATATTTGACCCCCTTCTTTCACGCGCATGTTTCCAAGGTTTACCCAGGTGGCAGCCTGGGTCAGACCTTCGTTCCTTTTTTTATGGCTGAATGATATTCTACTGCACGGACAGACCACATTTTATTTATCCCTTCATCTGTGGGTGGACACTTAGGCTGTTTCCACATTTTGACTATCATGCATAAGGCAGCTGTGAACAACTTGTGTACAAGTTTTTATGTGGATACATGGACGTATACCTTCACTTCCTTGGGTATACACCTAGGAGTGGGAGAGCTGGGTTACACGGTAACTCTCTGTATATCCTTTTGAGGAGCTGCCAAATGGCTTTCAAAGCCACGGCACCATTCTGCATTCCAACCAGTCGGAGCGTTCCAATTTCTCCCAATGCTTGCCAACGCGTACTATTGTGTAACTTTTAGGTTATGGCCATCGCAGTGGGAGTGAAATGTTATCTTATTGTGGTTTGATGTGTGTCCTCAATGGCTAATGTTAATACTGCTCTGCAAGAAAACAAACCAAATCCACGCCCCCCCCCATGCCCAAATGGGGATTCCAGGATCTCTTAGTGTGGGAAATGCGGTGTTGAACACATTAAGTGGGTTTCCTTAAGACAGATTTTCTTGGCCTTTAGCATGCATTGTAAGCTTTATGAGGGGCACAGAGTGTACAATCTTTCCCAAATTCATTTGACCCCAAAACTACCCCCCCCACCCCAGTAATGCTGGTTATCATCCTTCAGGACTTTAGTGTTCCACATTAAATAGAGTTTGGGAATGCTGGCCTTATATCCAAAAAGCCAGCCTCACCTGGCTGTCACCAGCATGGGCTTTGGGGTCGGTAAGCTACAACACGTCCTCAGCTATAGGGTGTCGGACTATTTAGCCCCTCAAGCCTTGCTGCTTCATCCGCAGAAAGGGGTTAAGAGCTGCATCCTAAGATCTTTAAATAAGAGAAGCTGTCGAGATGCTGAATATTTATAATAAATATAATGTTTTCTTTAAAAAAAAAAAAAAAAGAGAAGCTGTCAAACCTTTCCCCTGTATGGTGTGTGGAGATGGGGCTCTGATCACACAGACTGCCAACCTGTCAGGCCACGTCCTCTGCTGTGACAAATTTGGTTGGACCCTGCTGCATTAAAAAAAGTCCAGGACAAGTCTCCTTCTGATGCAAAAGGAGGGAGAATGTGAAAAACGCCCCCAGGCTCTCACACTTCGAGGTTATTAGTTTTCAATGTCCCAGGGAGTTTGTGGGCCCCTGCCTTCAAGAAGCTGACAGTGCCCGCTGCCTGGCCAACAGTCCCTGGCAGCAGGCTGCTGAAAGAATCCAAGGCAGAGGGCAGGTAAGATAAAGGACTCTGTATAATGATGCATCTGCTGCCACCACTAATTCTTTTCAAGGGGACGTTCTGCTTTGGAAAGAAGGATATATAATCCTGTTTAGTAATTCTTCCAAAAATTTGCTTTTTATCCCATCTATTGATGTTTATTTCAATCATTTTATTTTCCATTTCTAGAGCTTTTATTTCCCTGTCAAATTCACCCAGTCTTTATTTGATAGGGTCTTATTCATTCTTCATGGTTTTAATTCTTTTCTATATTTAATCATTTTAGGCATACTTGTTTTGTAGTTGTACATTCGATTATTTTATGATCTGAGGTCCTTGGGAGTCTAATCCCACTGCTTGCTTTTGTCTGCTGAGTCTCTCTCTCGTTGCAGTAACTGCAGATTATGAGCTTTTCTTCAGTAAGGCTCTGTCTGTGGGGATCCTCTGGGGCCTGGGGTGTAGACATACTTCTGTCAAACCAGGAGTATAGGCACCCGGAAATCCTTTTTACGTCTGATTTCTCAGAACAGGAACTGCCAAACGGTATAAATTTGAACTCACAGCCCATGTAAAGGCAGTCCTGCGTTGACAAATTCTTAGGGAGAATTTTTTGTCCCCCCACCCTTGCTCCACAGGCTTGGCCTCTAAGCCCCCAGCTGTATGTTGTTAAATGAGACCAGTGGGGGTGGGCCCTAATCCAATCTACTGGTGTCTTTATATGAGGAGGAAGAGAAACCAGGTTACTCCCTGCCTCACGTGGGCCCGAGACTCGTGCTAACAGTGCTGAATTTCAGTTTCTTCGGGTGTGGTTCCTAGGGATTTTCCTCCCTTCGGGCTCAGATTTTTTCAAAAAGAAAGAACAAAAACACCACTGCAGGTGGCTTATCAAGATATTCCAGGTTGGGTAGTAAGTCAAACCTTAAAAAATAGAAACGGAAATAAAATTCTGTAGTTATGTTAAGATAATTTTCTACTCTATTGAAATGTAAGCGTATTTTTGGCCAAAGGAGGAGGCTGGAAAAATTGTTCCCTTACATTTTTTTTTTTTTTTAATTCATTTCCTCCCCATCCATCCCACCCTTAGTGCACATCCATTAGAAACTCGTCAGAGGTGCTGCTATGGGCCGAGTTGTGTCCCCGAAGCTCATGGGTTGAAACCCTCACCCCTATAACCTCAGACTGTGACTGTATTTGCAGACAGGGTGTTTAAAGACTGGATGAAGTCAAAATGAGGCTGTGAGGGCAGGTCTTGAGCCAACAGGGCTGGTGTCCTTGTAAAAAAAAGGAAGAGACAGGAGGGATGCTGCCACAGAGAAGTCGAAGGAGGACGCAACAAGAAGGCAGCAGGTCTGCAGCCAAGGAGAAAGGCCTCAGAAGAAACCAGACGTGCGGGCACCCTGATCTGAGACCTCCAGCCTCTAGAACTGCGAGAACAGAAATTTCTGTGGTTTAAGCCCCCAGTCTGGGGGATTTTGTTACAGCAGCCTGAGCAGATGAATACCCATGCCTATTTAAAAAAAGATGTCTGAATCATTTCAACTTGGCAGACATCAAACATTAAAATGGTAACTCACACGTATGCTCTGTAAAGGGACTGAAGGGAAAAGGGCTGTGTCACTAACTACAAAGAAGACTGATGATGAAGGTCAAGGTGACATTTGAAATAATCGAGCCCAAAGCCCGGCCACCCCTCCGTTGAAGTACACACGTCAAGGCTCAGTCACCTCCCATTAGCGCTTCATTCAATTCGGTTTATAAAAACAATTAACTTCATCAATCCCTCACAGTGTGTGTGGTGATTAATGCAGCAGTAAAAAGTGGCAAGAATAGTAATAACTCAACACCGAGACAGGTTCATTTGAACTTGCAATACTGCCAAAACGTTATGATGGCACATATTTATTGTGATTGTTTTACCCCTGTCACGAGGACTCTTCATTTGTGAAAAATACAAAGGCAGAGTTGTTTCTGCAGAAATCTTTGCAGAATTATTTGCAAATGGAAGTATTTTTACGAGACATTAGAAAAAACAAGGACTCGGATTGTTGGTGTAGTGGTTGTTACTCAAAGGAGAGCTCAGAACTGAGAAGAATACCAAATACTGTATTTAGTATTAGAAGTGTATGGACAAAAAAAAAAAAAAAAGAAGTGCTGTATGGACGACAGCGATGTGGGTCCTGGAGCCAGATCTCTGGGCTCGAGTCCCAGCCCCAACTGCTCGCGCGTGCGTGTAAGTGTACTGTGTATGTGTCTTTCCGTGTGTGCGCGCGCACGCGTGCATGTCTGGGCACATTGCTGGCACCCTCTGTGCCTCAGGGTGCTCCCTCTGTGAAGAAAGGGGGACAGCGCTCTCCCTGCCAGGGGTTCGCCGAGGACTCAATGAGTTAGCACATGTGAAAGGCCTCCCACCGGGCCCGGCACCTGGCAAGTGTTCCACTGATGTGGTCAGCTAAGCATCCCTAGGACTGTCGTCGGTACATCGCCATCTAAGTATGGAAGCTTCTAGAAAATCACAGATCCTGGGTAATGCTTCAACTTTGTTCTTCTTCACCATCACTGTGTGCAGAGCTCTTTCTCACCCCTGGCCACATGACATCCCACCTTAGAGTAACCCAATGGAGTGGATCCTGAGGGGTGAAGAAGGGGAGGCCAGCAGGCCCGGAGCTGGATCTGGCCCTGGCAGCCTGTACCCTTGATCACACCCTGCAGGTCCTTCTTTGCTTGGACCTTCCAGGAAACAAGAGAGCATCACTGCTTCTCAGAGGAACACAAAGTGATGGCCCAGGGCAGGCTCTGATTACTGTGCCACCCAGGAGACGAGACGGAGAAAGTGAGTTTGACATTCAAAGCTCTTTGCAGAGCGGCTTCCTGCCTATGGGGTAAAGGGAGGGGAGGAAGCCTTCTCCGTGGTCAGACTTCGCCAGGTAAGGAGTACTGGGGAGGCAGCTGAGGACATCTCCCCTGTCCCGGGTCTGGGAGATTAGGTGGGGACGGGACTAAGGAACAGGGTCCGTGGCAGCTCGGAGAGACA